GGGGGGCCCTGGTAGGAGTGGGCAGAGCATTATGGAAAACGTCCTTGCATATGATGGCATGTACTTGCCTCCTTTTGGGGGGCGGTTTTGCAGGGCTTCTGGTCCTCTAAGCATGAACTGAACTGAGCTCTACCTCTGAGCAGCACCAACCTTAGATTCATTTCCAGATCCAGACACTTGTTGCTGGCATCTGTGCTGTCTTATTACCGAAATGTGAGGGTCACAGCCTGAGTCCAGCAGTTCTAACAAGCTAGGCTCAGCCACGGGTCCTCAACGCCCCAACTAAAGGCAATGACAGGAAAGCAGAGAAACATTCAATGTGGCCGCTTGGGAAAGAGGAACAATCAACTGTCTTCAGGGCATGTGAGAGTCAAACTTAAATACAGTTTGGGGTGTGTCCCTCGCCCCAACACTGACCCATAATTGTCTCAACTGCAGTCTCTCCTGCAAGGTGGTCTGACAAGGTGTCAGAACCCTGTGAAATCTCTTTCTGGAAGACCAGTTCCTCCTCCAACTGGACCCAGGCTCCAACCTTTCCTTTCCCAGGGGCGGCCCGGGGAAATTTTAATCCTTTCAGGAAGATCTGTCAGTGGCAGTGTGGGGTGGGGTATAGGCCACAGGCACAGTTCCCTAGAAGCCCGAGTTCTTTGCAGAGGCTTCCACTCAGGTGAGGCTGGGAGTCTTGATTTTGAAGAAAGGAATTTCAGGAAGAACCAGGATGAAGTGGAGCTGTTTATTATTTATTTTGAGACAGGTTCTCAAAGTGTAGACTAGGCTAGCCTACAGTTCACAGAAATCAGCCTGCCTCTGCTGGGATTTATGGTGTGCACCACCAGGCCTGGCCTAGAGCTGGATTAAATTAATTCAGGTGGGCCTAAACTAAAAGTGGATTTTTTTGTTTTGTTTTGTTTTTGAGATAGGGTCTTCCTGGAACGCACTATGTAGACCAGGCTGGCCTAGATCTCACAGAGCTCTGCCTGACTCTCTACCCCCCAGTGTTGGAACTAAGGGTGTATGCCACCCCGCCTGGCTGACAGAGGGTTTTTAACACAGATTTAAGCACATGGTTATTAGACAGGTACTCAGTTGGAAAGGCTAAGACACACCAGTGCCGGGGGTGGGCCTCTCAAGAGTCAGTCCTTCATGTATCTTTACAGTAGCTATATATAGATGATTTTGGTGGCTTCTGAAGTTACGTGTTAAGGGTTGGCAAGGAATCTGAGATCACGGGGTAGTAGCTTGGGAGCATCAGATGGACTCTCAGCTGACTAGACAAATCCTGCAGGGTTGAGGGGAAATTACAGGTTTTTTCCTAGAAAGAACAGTTTATAGTTTTGTGAGATTCCTAGAAATTTGCAGGTTTATAGTTGGGAAAGGGGTTTGGCCACACATGCTTGGGCCTTAAGCATGGTTTGCTGTCACTTAAGCATTCTTATCATTTTTTACATTTGTCTGCCTATGTGTTTTCAGACACATATGTAGAAGTCAGAGGACAACTTGTAGAAATCTCTCCTGTGTTCCAGGCATTGAACTTGGGTTGCCAGACCTCCGAACAGGAGCCTTTACCTGTTGTGCCATATTGCCGCCCTATTTTATGACTATCTGAAAATCTCTAGACAATGGGAATATTTTCTCTGTGTAGGCAACCCTCAGAGCAAATGTTAATTGTGCTGGAAAATTTTTTTATTATTTTTACTTTATGTGCATGATTGTTTTGCCTACCTGTACATACATGCACCACGTGCATGCGATGCCCACAGAGACCAAAAGAGGACGTTGGATCCCCTGGAACTGGAGCTTCAGAGGATTGTTGGGTGCCATGTGGGTGTCGGGAACTGAACCTGAGTCCTCTGGGAGAGCGGTAAGAGCTCTTAACCACTGAGCCATCTCTCTAGCCCCTGTGGGCTGGAATTCTTGATTCTTACTGGTGAAAGGCTTCAACTAGACCCCAGGGCCAAGTCTCCATTTCCTTCTCTCCCACCAGGACAACTAGGTACACTCTCACACAGTCCCTGAGGGTTGTTTTGGGCAAGGAGAGCCTGTCACTAGGTCCCAAAGATGCCTGGGCTGGAGACAATCAGCTGACTATGTAAAGCCTTTTAACCTTCAGTGGTGGATCATACTTGTAATCCCAGCAGGACCCTCAGGAAGCTGAGGCAAGAAAACTGTCTTGAGTTTGAAGCCAGTCTGGACTACATAGTGAGCTCTGGGCTAGCCTGGTCTATAGAGTGAGACTGAGGCAAGCAAGCATAGGGATAGTTTAACAGTCTGGGACTCCACTTGACAAGCTCTGCACACTCCTTTCCTAACAATACACTTAGCAACCTAGTACCCCAAACTACTGAGCTGCGCATGCACGCACACACACCCCACTTCAAACAGTGGAGTGAGTTTGTCTCCTTGACAGCCCTATGGCAACCCCCCTCCCCCGTTTTCATTCAAACAAGTCTGAAACGTATCTGGGGATGGGAGGTAGGGAACCCATCAAGCCTGAACTTGTTTGGGGTATTATGCTCAATAAGGCAAACAACTTTTAGGGGAAAACTATTCACAACCCTGTGCCCATGTACAATCAGGTATTCATATGATTAAAGTCAGATGCACTGTGGGAAAGAAAGGACAGTCCTGCCAATCAAAACAAAGAACCACCCACACTGGGACCCTTAGCAACCAACTCCTCCTCCTGGACCCCACAGAAGGAAGCCCCAAGGAACAATCACTGACTGGCTTTGAGCACACTAACTCAAGGAGCCTGCTTGCTGTGAATCTCTGTACTCTAGCCTTGCTTCTGAATCATGTTTCCTTGAGGCTGGAGAGTTGGCTTAGTTACAAGCAGGCCCTGTTCTTGTAGAGGACCTGAGTACAGGAGAAGCAGAAAGGGTGAAAGCTATTCCATCTGACCCTGACAGAGAGCGGAGGTCAGCTAAGACCAAGGAAGTCCTTCTCCACTGTTGCAAAGAGGGGTTGTCCGCAGCCTCTGTCCTAGTGGCCCACATTTGTCTTGGGTACTCAAACAACAAAATCAGTTTGAGAGAGAGAGGTTTGAAGAGATATTTGAAGCCCTGGTTTTCTAGTGGGGTCACCTGAGCCCCACCCACATCTCCCCTGTCCTTAGAAATATGAATACCTTCCAAAGGGTGGCCAAGCTGGGTAAAGGAAGTGAGGGTTCTCAGAGCAGGGAGCTGGAAGGACTTTGTGCTGAGCACTTTGGCGTGTCAGCAGCTTGGAAGCAGATACAGCATGACACCTTGTACACATCACACTGCTGTCCTCAGGGGACTGCAGCTCACAGGCATGTATGGTGTCTCCAATAGTTTTACAGTCTTTTGTTTTTTTCTTTTTATATTGGGCATTGTGTAGCCAAAACTGCCTCTGAGCTCTGGAGCACAGGGATTACAAGTATGGGCCATTGCACCTAACAGGAAGAGCTTTTTAAATCAGGCATAATGATAGATGTGTTCCAGCAAGGATTTATGAGAAATTATGACATCATAAAACGACTTGAGCACATGAGAATTCCACCTTAGGACAGCCAGACTCGAAGAGATTGAAAAGAGAGAAAGTTCCTGTTTGCCTTGATTTGATACTTTTCCTTACTTCAGAGTAAAAATAGTTTTAAGGTGGGAAAACAGCAGTTGTCTGTTCATTCATGAGAATGAAGTCATAATGGGTTCATTGTTAAGGTGCCAAGGTGATAGTCAAGGAAGCCCAACAATGATTCCCATTCTCTCCACCTCAGGTGATCCCATTTTGGGATCAGCTAACCTCACTGGCAAGAGTACCTAATGGCCGCTGCTCTTCCAGACCAGCTACTGCCCCGTCCCTTCAGCAACATCTGCCTGTCTCAGCACCCCGCAGTCACATGGGCAGCAGTCACCTGATTCCAGCCGGTGGAGTGGCTAGAGACCTAGAGTTGCAGATCCCTGGGGCAGGAGGTGGGGGAAGGAGGGTCGGGAGCAGGAGAGTCATGTGTAGCCTCTGTGGGGCAGTGGGCTAGCTTTCCAGGATAGATGAAGAGCCTGATGATCCTGTGTTCCCTGGGTGAGCTGTACTTAAGTGGGGTGGTTGTGAGGGTTAAGGCTAGTCATTAGTGAGGAGACCTTCACAGTTTCCAGAGCAGATAGGATACAGTGGATACTAGAATTTCAGGGTCTGGGCTCTTGGCCAGCATTCTGGAAGCCAGGACTGCCCACTGACTGTAACTGGGCCAGATGGAGCAGGTGGCAGTGGGGTGATGTCTGCTATAGGTTTTAGATGCTGTCTAATGATAGTGTGGCTTTTGGGTCAGTAGAAGCTAGTGGGCTGCTAAGTTAATGTGATGTCTGCTATAGGTTTTAGATGCTGTCTAATGATAGTGTGGCTTTTGGATCAGTAGAAGCTAGTGGGCTGCTAAGTTAATGCGCATCCCAAAGGTTTTGAACCAGGCACTTAGCTGTTTTTACTACAAAGCATTAACCCCTCACTTATGTCCTCAGGGAGCTGAAAGCAGGATGAGATGTGGGCAGTGCCTCATAGTTGTATGCAATCCTAGCTCTTGGGAGGCTGAGGCTGGAGGATCACTATCACTTTGATGGGGGCACTTTTCCATGAGGGCAAAACTGTACTCCAGAAGCGATCATCTTGTAGGAACCAGGGTGACCACCCCCCAGTGACAGAAGCACTTCTTTGGACCACCTTGTAACACCAGAATTTAGATAGTGAGGGGTAGGACCACACCTTGACTAGAACAGCTTTATTATGCAGACCTCCTGTTTCCTGCTCCAATTCTTCCTCTATTAAAGCCTAAAGCTCATCCTGGATGGTGGTGGAACTTGCCTGTAATCCGAGCACTCCGGAGGCAGGTGGCTCTCTGTGAGCGCCTAGCTAGCCAGGGCTACATAGCCCAAGACCTCAAAAAACAAAAAAACACTAAAGCTCATGTCCATACCTTGAAGATCATCTTGGGGGGGGTCACTGGACCCCTTTATCTGCCCCTCTTTCTACGTGGCCACATTGAATAAATCACTCTCTGTGTTTTTCACATGGTTTCTCTTTAGTTGATGACCTAGCCCAGCTTGTTGGATTGCTGGAGCCTGGGCTTATGCCCCCAAAACTGTACTTATAATTTTACTTAATAGTCACAAGAATGTTGGGGTCAGACACAGTCATTGATAAATGACTATTAAAGGACTAAAGCTAGTCCAAGATAATTTTGCTCAGGACCTTCAACATTTCAACTCTCCACAGCCACAAAGTTCTAATCAGTAGCCCAGTCTCAGAATCTTCCACACAGGTGTGGCTTTTTCAGGGCACTTCAGATCACATGTGGACCTCTGCCCCACTGGCTCAGTCTCGATCCCCAAGGCAGGAAGGACCTCACTCACAGGGAGAGTTAGGATCAAGTGAGGAAGAAATAACCTAACTAACCCCGGAGGCCAGCCAGCTGTGTAACACCAGTGACTGGCACTGGGCAAACTCTACCCATGCTTCCCACCAGGTCGGTATCTTTAGCTCAGTCTACAGTTTAAATTGATACATATCCTATTTACCAGGAGAAAACCAGTTTAATGATGTGCATATACACAGAGTCCCACAAAAACAGATGCAAAGGAGGGCAGAGTATTGAAGTTCTTACTTACCCTGAGTCGGGCCTTGAGACCCTGGGGAGCTGTGGAAAGAAATTTTCAGAGCAGGAGGAGAGGGATTAAGGGCTGAAGAAAGGGTGGCTTGTCATGCAGATGGAAGTTGCTGGGCATTTAAATTACTGTAAGAGTGAAACCACAGAGGACAAGCCAGCCTTCGGGTTGCAACAGCAAGAGGTTTATTTAGTACACAGGTACCTGTGGGTACAAAGTCTCCTGGGGGGGGGGGGGACGACTTGCGCGCCTCAGGTCGGGTTTGTGGAACTTTTATAGAGCAGAAGCGGGATACAGAAGCAGAAACACGGTTATTGGTTAGTTTAAACTATTACAAAATGCTACAGGGAGAGCGGGGAGCTTACTTATCACTAAGCCAGATGTCTCAACCATAAAACTTATTTATCAGTGAGTTGGAGATGTCTCGGCCATGAAACTTACTTATCAGTAAGCCAGATATCCTGGCCATAGAACTTACTTATCGGCAAGCCAGATGTGTCGGCCATAAAACTTACTTCTCAGTAAGTTGGAATTCTTGACCGGTACGCGACCTGCCTGAGAGACTTCATGGCTCCTGACTTTTATTTTTTCATTACCTAGAGCAGCTCTTCCGGTACTGACACCAGTTTCCTAAAGACTTGCAGCTGGACGCCCTTCAGAGCTGCTCAGGGGTCTGCATCTCCCAAAAAGACCCACTTGGGTGTGGAGTATACACCCAAGAAGCGTGTTTGGGGGTGGTAGGTCCTGGGTACCAACACTCCTAACCCATAAAGGGTGGGTAAAAGAGAAAACAGCTTGACTTATTAAATGTGCCTTAGGGGCTGGCAAGATGGGTAACAGTACTTGCTGCTGACAATCTGAGTTCAGTCCCTGAATCCCACTGTGGAAGGAGAGAACCAACTCCTAGAAGCTGCCCTCTGACCTCCACCTACCTACCTGCTAGGTGTCTGCACTCATGCATCATACACACGCTACAGTAATAATAAAATAAGCTTTAATTCAGAATGTCACCTGAATCTGAAGCAATCCATGGCTAAGGACAGGAAGAAATCTCGGTTTCTCAGTGCTGTGCCGGTACGCACCTATTTCAACTTCTTCACCTGGCTGGGCAGGCAGGTCAGCCAGGCCGCCGCCTCCTGGGAAATGGAAAAGGTGTTGTCTTTGGCCACACAGAGAAAGAAACACAGCTCATTTCAAAGGAATAGGAAAGAGCTTATCTGGGAGATAGTTAGGAACTTCTCACACAGGACTTGAGTTCAGTTCCAGCATCCATGATGTGACTCCTAAGTCTAATTCTGGGACATCGGACACACACATATATGTATATGAGTGTATTGCCTGCATGTGTGTAAGTGCACCCATGTTGTGCAATGGACATGGGGTTCAGAAGAGGGCATAGGATGCTTGGAACTGGAGTTACAGACAGTTGTTAGCCGCCATGTGGGTGCTGGGAATCAAACCCGGGTCCTCTGCAAGAGCAGTCAGTGCTCTTAACTGCTGAGTCATCTCTCCAGCCTCCATATGTACATAATTTAAAAATAACTTTAAAAATTAGAAGAAAAATCTTGTGAGAACACGAGATTGAGAGAGAAAGACAGAGAGGGAGAGAGATTATCTGGAATTAAATTTGAGTGATGTGACCCAGAAACACAGATTTAGGTAACCCTAAATACCATATTACAATGGGATAAATGTTTCATGAATTTTTTTTTTCTTTTTTTTTTTGGTCTTTTTGAGACAGGGTCTCCCTGTAGCCCCAGCTGTCCTGGAACTCACTATGTAGACCAGGCTGGCCTCGAACTCCCAAAGATCCGCCTGCCTCTGCCTCCCGAGTACTGGGATGAAAGGCGTGCACCACCATGCCCAGCTGTTTCATGAATTTTTTATAGTGGCAAAACAGAAGAAAAATCATATGTCAAGACACTTTTTTTTCCTTTTGGTCCTTTTTTTTTTAAGATGGGGTCTCCTTGTAACCACAGCTGGCTCGGAACTCACTATGTACACTCAATTTCACAGAGACCTGCCTGCCTCTGACTCCCGTGTAAGGTGTGTACCACCATATGCTGCACTTGTTTTTTGAGCCAAGGTCTGACTATGTATCCCTGACTGGACTGGAGTGTGCTACGTAGACCAGGCTGGCCTTGAACTCACAGAGATCTGCCTGCCTCTGTCTCCTGAGTGCTACAACTAAAGGTATGTGCCACCATACCCAGCTTAAGACACTTCTAAAATACATTGGTGGGAACAGTAGGTAGGCAGACTACAATAGGCACAGAAACTTTGTTAAAAGCCTAAGACGCTGGGCTGGACCTGGAGGTGCAGCCTTTAGTCTCAGCATTTAGGAGGCAGAGGCAGGTGGATCTCACTTTCAAGGCCAGCTAACTTTATATAGTGAGATTCTGTCTCAAACAAACAAACAAACAACAAAAGTCTCAGATTCTGTCTAGTCTGTTTTCAATTGCTAAATTGCTGTGATAAAACACTGACCAAGGGGGCTAGAGAGTTGGCTCAGTGGTTAAGAGCACTGACTGCTCTTATAGAGGACCTGGGTTCTATTCCCAGCACCCACACAGCGGTTAACAACCGTCTGTAACTCCAGTTCCAGGGGAATCCAACACCATCTTCTAACAGCATTGCACGACATGGGTGCACTTACACAAAGGTAATACACTCATACACATAAAATAAAATAAATAAATAAGGGGCTGGAGGGTCTTGCAGAAGACCCAGGTTCGAATCCCAGCACCCACATGGCAGCTAGTTCCAGGGGATCTGACTGCCTCTTCTGTCCTCCATGGGCATTGCACGACACGGGTGCACTTACCTACATGCAAGCAATACACACATACACATAAAATAAAAATAATAAATAAAATATTTAAAATAATAATTAAAAAGAAAAAAAACACTGACCAAATCAGCTTGGGGAGGAAAGGGTTTATTTGGCTTACAGGACAGTCCACCATCAAGGGAAGCCAAGGCTGGAACTCAGAGCAGGAGCCTGGAGCAGAGATCATGGAGGAACATTGCTTACTGGCTTGCTCCCTGGCCCATGCTCAGCCTGCTTTCTTATACAACACAGGCCCACATGCCCAGGGGTGGCACCACCCTCAGTGGGCTGGGCCCTCCCACATGACTCAACAATCCAAGAAAATGCCCCACAGGCATGGGCACAGGCCAGTCCAAAGGAGACAGTTCCTCAGTTGAGGCTCCTTTTACCCAGCTGTGTCAAGTTGACAACGGAAGCTGTCCAGCACCAATACTAGACATTCTTAGCCTTTGAGTTGCTGGAAGTTAGTGGCCAGTTAATATATTCCAAAAGGATTACCTAATAGTCACAAGAATGTTAGGTCACACACAGCAGTGGACAGTGCATGGCTATCAGGAGACTAAAGATAGCCTAGGATAATCTGGCTCCCAACCACTGTTCTTCCAGCTCTCCACTAGAACAATTCCGTCAGCCTTGTAGGGTGCTTAGCACAGCTGTGTACGTGTATGCGGTGGGTCGGGGGTTGGTTTTGATTTTCGTTGGTTTTTGTTTTTGCCTGGGAACTTAGTTCACATCTTCCTTGATTTTGTTTCAAAGACATGATTCTGGGGAACAGAGGAACCCTCCTGCTTCTTGGCCCTAGAAACGTGTACACACTTGGAAAGGACCCTGAAAGAGGTATTCTGAAAGAGGGAGAGGGAGGGCACTAACTCCAAATGGCCAGGTGGTGCTGGGAGACATAGCCCCAGCACTGCTGACAGCATCCCCAGGAGGCGCCTGTACTCCCCCAGAGACCTCCACTCAATAAAACTGGATCTAGAAAAGTTTCAGGAGAAGACAGAGTGAGGCAACATTGGTGAGTTTATCAAGGGAGAACTTAAGCTCATGCATGGCATTTAAAGAGAGAGACACCTAAAGGACTGTACATGTCCAAGACATGGGTGGGGCTCCCTTTTATAATTCACTCATTTATTTAAAATATTTTTATGGCCGGGCATGGTGGCACACGCCTTTAATCCCAGCACTTGGGAGGCAGAGGCAGGTGGATCTCTGTAAGTTCAAGGTCAGCCTGGTCTACATAGTGAGTTCCAGGTCAGCTGGGGCTACAGGAAGACCCTGTCTCAAAAAGCCCCCCCCCAAATTTTTTTATATGGGGCCAATGAGATAGCTCAGTGAGTTAAAAGCACTTACAAACAAGATGGACAACCTGAATTCAATCCTCAGGACCCACATGGCAGGAGAGAACCACCTCCTACAAGCTGTCCTTCGACCTCCACATGTATACTGAGGCATGTGCATACATACACAATAAATAAATGTAAAACAATTTTAAAATATTTTTATTCATTCCTACATGTGTGCAATGTACCTTGTTTGTTTGTTATGTTTGTTTTGAGACAGGGTCTCCCTGCAGTCCCAGCTGGCCTAAAACCTACTATATAGACCAGGCTGGCTTGCTTCACAGGGACCACAGCCTCTGCGTCAGAAGTGCTGGGACAGAAGGCGTGCACCACCACACTGGACTTTTTTTCTTTTTATATCCCACTGAGTACCGTGTATTGGCTGCACGTGCATGAGTGTGGGGCCATCCACCAAGCAAGGCAACCTACTGATGCCTGGGAAAACGGTCCCTCCCACCCCAGTTGTCACGAAATGCCCACAGCTCCTCAGTAGGGTAGGGCTCATGAGCCCCTCCCCCACATACTGGACTGTTGATTGGATGGATCTTGTGGTGGTCTCGTGCAGCCACCACAGCTGCTGAGAGCTCATGAGCGTAATAACCAAGCCATGCCCACCCAGTGGCCAGCACGTCATAGTGCTTCTTCCCATCCTCAGGTTCATCAATCCTTTCCACCTCCACCCCACTTTTGGAGGTTTCCTGAGCCTTGAGAGGGTCCACAGAGATGTCCCATTTAGGCTGAGCACTCAGCAGTCACTTACTGTCAGCACTTTGACAAGTTTTGAACCTCTGCATTGATAGGAAAAAGAAGCTTCTCTTGTTAGGGAAAGAGGAATTTACTGCTTGTTTGAATATACTGCTTGTCTGAATTTACTGCCTGAATTTACTTGTTTAAATTTACTGCTTGTAACCAATTAACTCAACTGGAGACACAGGCATCCAGAGATAGAGGCAAGTGCTACAGCCCCCAGAGCCTGACCTGTTCTGTGTCATGTCATGTAGACATGTCTGCTTACACAAGATAACAGGAAAGAGTCGTGCCAGGCACATACCAACCATCTCTCCCCAATTGAGACACCTGAAGGGAGTTGTAACATTTTTCTTGTTTTAAAGTTATTGGTTTGTGAAATGCTTGCTTTGAAACTATTGGCTCTATAAACGTGGGCTTTTGTGTAATGGTTGTGGGAGCCTATATAATCTTTACCTAAAATTGTCTCAGGGTCGATTGCTCTGACCAGACCTGCGTGTTTTGGGGAGGACGGTCGGCCCTAGCTAGCTGGTTTAATAAAACTCTGCTTGAT